TATAGTTAGTGTACCCATGAAGAAATCCGGGACCAAAGGTGATAAATGTTATTTTAAAAAAAAGTGGCTGGTTATAAAGATGGCAAGGGAATAAGCAGAAACAACTATACTCTTGAGAATATGTTTGAGAATGTAGTATAAAGATCTTCCCACAATAATACTGCACAAGGAGTATGGGTATAGATTTATTTATACCCAGGCCCCAAACAATAAAGAGGGTATTAAAAAATTATTTTTTGCTTGTTTGTTTTGAGTTACACCCAATAATGTTCAAGGCTTACTCCTGGCTCTGGGCTCAGGGATCAGTCCTAGAGTGACCTGGTGGGCCAGATTGAGTATTGGGGACCAAACCCAGGTCACCATATGCAAAACCAGGGCCCTACCCATTGTACTATCTCTCCAGTCCCCAAGGATGGGTTTAAAAACGAATTTTAGGCATTTATTTCTGATAGATCTGAAGAGCATGATTAGAGTATTTATAAGCACCTTCGGGGTGTTTGGAAACTGTAGGCCTCAAATTGGGGAAAAAAACCCCAGCAAATTATGAAATATGTTTATCTTTGAATTTCTTTTTTTTTCTTTTTGGGTCACACCCGGTGATGCACAGGGGTTCCTCCTGGCATAAGAACTCAGGAATTACTCCTGGCGGTGCTCGGGGGACCATATGGGATGCTGGGAATTGAACCTGGGTCGGTCACGTGCAAGGCAAATGCCCTACTCGCTGTGCTATCTCTCCAGCCCCTATCTTTGAATTTCTTGAATGAGACTTTCTCCTCTCCCTTCCATCCCTTAAAACACATATGTATTTATTCACATATATTAGAACTTCAAATATATAGTCTAATGAAAGGGGATGCTCTAAGATCTCTGGGCAAGATATAACGTTGTAAATAAATAGTAGAGTTTTCAACAAAAGAAATGTGAATAAAGCATTAATAAATAAGAGTCATCAGAATCTGATAAAACAGACCCTCAGAGATCATGAAGAAGTCTCCAGAAAAGGGAAATGATTCTAAGATTTTAAGGACAGAGAGGTTGAATACGGCTTATATACCTACACAAATATATTCCCCAGGTGTGATACTCAGGCCAGACTTTTTTTGTTTTTGTTTTGGATTTGGGGCCATACCTGGAAGTGCTCAGGGCATACTCCTGGCTCTGTGCTCAGGGGTCACTCCTGGTAGATCTTGGGGGACCGTATGGATCGAACCTGGGTTGGGCATTTGCAAGGCAAGTGCCCTACCTGTTCTACGCTCTCTCTGGTCCCATCTAAGACTGAGGTTCCAAGTGTGAGAGCCAGCCTTTGTATGTGTGAAGCTCTGGGTTCTATCCTGGTACCACAGTGCCACCACCGTCACAATGGGAGGCAGCAAGCAAAACAAAGGCGCATTTCTGTTTTCACACTTAAAAGAGGAGTGGCCGAGATTAGTACCAGGAATTTTGCTCCATGACTTGGAGGCCAGCCACACGTGCTACGGGAAGGGGAAGCTCAGATAGAGAAGGGAGCACCAAATACAGGGTGTTGGGAGGTTCCTCCCAGGATGGTAGAAGCATGCAGAAAGTAGACTATAGACCAAACATGATTGCCACTCAATGCCTCTTTTGCAAACCACAACACCCAAAAGGAGAGAGAGAACAAAGGGAAATGTCCTGCCACAGAGGCAGGGTGGGATGGGGGGGGGGGGTGGGAAGGATACTGGGACCCGTGGTAGTGGAGGATGGGCGCTGGTGGAGGGATGGGTACTTGATCAGTGTATGACTGAAACCCAAGCACAAAAATTTGTAAGTCTACAACTGTACCTCATGGTGTTTCACTAATAAAAAAAAAAAAACATAAAAAAAAGAGAGAATTTCTTGGGGCTGGAGTGATAGCACAGCAGGTAGAGCGTTTTCCTTGCACACGGCTGACCTGGGTTCGATTCCCAGCATCCCATATGGTCCCCTGAGCACCGCCAGGAGTAATTCCTGAGTTCTTATGCCAGGAGTAACCCCTGTGCATCGCCGGGAGTGACCCAAAAAGAAAAAAAAAGCCTTCTTTTCTATTTTCCTTACAAACCACTTCTCTACTTATCTAAATTTGTTTTTCCTCAAGGAATCGCTTGGGTGGTTCATTAAGTGTTTTACCATGGGGGAAATATTGAAGTGCCCCTGATTCTGCCATCAGTTGAATTGATGTAGCAGGTGGGAGGGAAACTGGGAACATGGGTGGTGGGATATGGGGAAGTGGATGCTGTGAAGGGATGGCTGTTGGGACTTGATATGACTGAAACCCAATCGTGAACGTTATAACGAATTTAGATATTTGAAAGAAAAATTGAATTAGGCCCAGGTGCGCTATTAGGGGTGGGTGGGTCCTGCTTCCTGGTCCTGCGGAGGCGGAGGCGGGTGCTAGCAGGCCTGACAGACTCTGCGTGGCTCTAGGCTCTCTTCACCGGCCACTGAGCAGTGACTCTCCGTGTCCTTGTTTTCTCTCTCTGCTCCAGTGAAGTTTACATTTTTCTTAAGGAGAGCCAAAAGTTTTTCCTTCTTCTTCAGGACAGTGAGTTTCAGCCAGTTCATGTGGAAATTTCTTCCATGTGATATTTCCATGTCTGGAAGTTAGAGGAGCGCTTCTCCTGTGTGAATGATGAATTCTGCGGTGATAGAAGTATCAGCATCTGCCTTCCTTGGAGGCATCACTGGCGGTGCTTGGAGCTGCTCCCAGCTCTGTGCTCCTGTTAAGGTGCACTCCAACTAGTCAAGTTTTTCTTCAAGCTGCTTCAGGACAGTGGAGTGCCAGAAATCAAATGGAAGTAGATACGAGAGAGAGAGAGAGAGAGAGAGAGAGAGAGAGAGAGAGAGAAAGAGAGAGACAGACAGACAGACAGAGATAGAGAGACAGAGAGACAAAGAGAGACAGAGAGAGACAGAGAGACAGAGACAGAGAGAGACAGAGAGAGCAAGCAAGCACTGTTTGGGTTTAAAGGAAAAAAATTAGGTGACAGTGCTACCGCGACCAGCAGTTAGGATAATCTACAAGAGTTATCACAGAAAGACTAACTAATTTACTAAAACAAGAAATCTGAGATGCAGTGGCCACCAAACCCTCTATCTGGATAAACTGAAAAACCAAAGGGAAAACTGAGAAGGATCTTACTGGTATCACGAGTGAACAATCGCTCACACACAACCTGACTGAGGCTGTTGGGAACGGAGCTGAGGCCGGTGCTGGGATCCTCCTATTAGCTCTGGGATTTCACCCGGGACTTGCACCAACCAACCCTTTCCCTATAGCTCACCCACAGAGTATTGCTCAAGATAGACTTGGGTTTTTTTTTTTTGCCTTTTTGGGTCACACCCAGCGATGCTCAGAGGTCACTCCTGGCTCTGCACTCAGGAATTACTCCTGGTGGTGCTTGGGGGACCAGAGGGGATGCCGGGGATCGAACCCGGGTTGGCTGCTTGCAAGGCAAATAATGCCCTACCCGTTGTGCTATCGCTCCGGCCCCGACAGATTTTTTTGGGGGGTAGGGGGGAATAAAGGATTCAGGCATCTTTCATTTTCCTACTAAGAGCCAGCCCAGAAGCTCTGCCAAGTCTTAGGGAAGTTCCCGGAGGGCACCCATGTCTACCCTCACCTGCTACTGCATCTCAGCCCTCTCCTCCTGCTTCTTGCCCAGAGGTCAAATGTCCCCAACACTGGGGTCCAGCCGACAACTGCATCCCTCCTGGCCTGGCGACACCTGAGCGCCTTGCCTTGGAAGGTGAGGGATGAACAAACTTGCGAGTCACACTGGCCACTTTCTCCAGGCCATGCACAGCTCTCAGCACCCTCCTTCTGCCCGACTCACCTTCCAGACGTGAATTGGGCACAGGTATGGGTGTTCGTGGCAGACCCACACTGCGTGATCTTGCTTCACTCCAAGGCCCCACGGAGCAAGCAGGGAGGGAGTGCACTGCACGGGCACAGGGCTGGCGCAGGGGTGCGTCGGAGGGAGGGTCCAGGCCTTCCAAGGGCTTCCCCCCTCCCTCCCATTTATGGGCCTCAGCTGGTGATGCTCAAGGGTTCCTCCTGCTTCTGGACTCCAGAATCACTCCTGGCAGGCTCGGGGACCCTATGGGTTGCCAGGGATGGAACCCGGGCGGGCCGTGTGCAAAGTAGCTGCCCGAGCACCGCCAGGAGTAATTCCTGAGTGCAGAGCCAGGAGTAACCCCTGAGCATTGCCAGATGTGACCCAGAAAGCAAAATAAATAAATAAATAAGTAAAAAGGCAAAGCAGACAAGCTTTGGTCTTTCATTCGTTCCTATGCATCAGCCATAGATGACCTACCCCACCCCCCCCGAGATGAATCCTTAATATATATGTGGAAATATTCTACATGATCACACACAAATATTTAAATGGACATCACAATTCTTGTATATAAATAAAAATGTTGATACATAACATTTTTAAAAGGTTATACTGATGAAGGGATGGGTGTTGGAACATTGTATGACTGAAACCCAATCATGAACAGCTTTGTAAAAAGAAAAAATAAATAAATAAAAAACACACAAAAAAGTCTGAGTTCTTCTGCACCCCTCCTGGCCTGGAGACACCTGAGCACCTTGCCTTGGAAGGTGAGGGATGAACAAACTTGCGAGTTACACTGGTCACTTTCTCCAGGCCATGCATAGCGCTCAGCACCCCCCTTCTGCCCGACTCACCTTCCAGATATGAATTGGGCATAGGTATGGGTGTTCGTGGCAGACCCACACTGCGTGATCTTGCTTCACTCCAAGGCCCCACGGAGCAAGCAGGGAGGGAGTGCACTGCACGGGCACAGGGCTGGCGCAGGGGTGCGTGTGAGGGGGCCTTCTCAGAGTTCACCGCCCCCCTTTCCCGCCCTTTGAAAAGGTCTTTCTGAACCTTCGGGGTCCATCAGACACAGGTGTGACCAGAGCGTGTTTGCACCCTTTTGCCATTGAAAGGCACCAATGGTTTCCCCAACGCTAACCTGATCTTTCCTTTCCACAGTCGGCGGCATCTACACCGTGATTCAGACCAAAGCCAAAACCACCGCAGAGGAGTGGGGAGAAAACTTCTTCATGATCGGCCCCTACTTTGAGCACAATATGAAAACTCAGGTGGAAGCATGTGAGCCGGTCAACAGGGCCGTGAAACGGGCTGTGGAGGCCATGAACACACACGGCTGCCAGGTATGAACACACACAGTTGCCAAGTGCTCGGGTTAGGTTTGCCCCACGCTCCTCAGAGGAGGACCTTGATTTTAAGTGGACTTGAGGTGCCTTGTGTGAACCACACCTGTCCAGTTGGATAAAAGGGCTTGGGGGCTCTGTAGAAGCTGTGACTTGTGTGTTCACAGGGCTTTCCCTCTGGGTGGTCTCCTGCTGCAGTCTAAAGTGTTGTTCCTGCAGCTCAAATAAAATCTCCTCTTTGGGAAGGGGTGAAAGTGGCAGGAGGGATACTGGGAACATTGGTGGTGGAGAATGGGCACGGGTGGAGGGATGGGTACTTGAACCTGGTATGACTGAAATGTAAGCATGAAAGTTTGTAAGTCACATTGATTCATTAAAATAAAATTTTTTAAAAATAATAAAACTAAAATAAACCCCCAAATCTCGTCTTTGGTGGTCCCAAATCATCCCAGCTGACTGTGTCTTGTGTGTGGCAGGTGCATTTTGGAAGATGGCTGATAGAAGGGAGCCCTTACGTGGTGCTTTTCGACATAGGCTACTCCGCGTCAAATCTGGATAGGTGGAAAGGAGATCTCTGGGAGGCGTGCAGCGTGGGCATCCCTTACCAGGACCAGGAAGCCAACGATATGCTGATCTTTGGATCTCTAACCGCCTGGTTCTTAAAAGAGGTATGGTCGCTGCAGAGCATACAACTGTGTCTCCAAATGGTCTGGCCGTTAGAGCAAGAACACTCTGCTTGGTGGCATTTCTGAGTGGACTAGCATATTTCAAAGGCTTTTGGGATAAAGAAATGATCAGTCTTTCTTTAATATTCGTCTTTGGAACAGGGTGATAACGATGCTTATTGATATTTGTCTTGGGTCAAAGTTTAAATAACATGATGTACACACATCAGGCCCTGTGTATGTGAGTTTTAGAATCTCAGGAGTAGAAAATTGCTTGAGTTATTTGTAGTTGTTAGGGTTTGGAGGCCACACCCAACGATAGTCAGGGCTTACTCCTGGCTCTGTACTCAGGGAACTGTGTGTGGAACATGAGTTGGCCACATGCAAGACAAGTGCCTTCTTGCCCGCTGTGTTATCTCTCTGGCCCATGTGTGCGTGTGTGTGTGTGTGTGTGTTAAATGTGTATGTGTGTGTTAAATGTGTGTGTGTGTGTTAAATGTGTGAGTACTAGTGCAACTGAGCTATCCTTATTAGTTTTTTTTTTTAAATCATTTGTATGGGACCGAAGCCATCTCAACAGTTGGAGTCTAGAGAGATGAACTATTCTCTTGGGATAAAAAAAAATAGAAACTGGGACATTAGAAAACAGACCTTGCTTAATGAATCAAATCTGTACTCTCTTAAGTCTGAGTCAAATCTTTACTCTCTCATTCCTCCTCGGGATGCAGACCGCAGCGTATCCCAAGTCTTCCAGATGATTCTGATGTGGGCCAAGTGGGAGAACTACTGTCATGGGTGAATTCTCCAGACTTTCCAGTTCTCCGCTCAGGCTTCCTGAACAAATGTTTTGCATTACCAGTTCTGCTCCCCATGGAAGAAGCAGTTGTAAGGGGAGTGGAGTGTAAATATTAACTTTTTGTAAGGGTGAGCCAAGACAATTTTAAGTCAGAAACTAAACCCTTCCTGGTTTTCTGTTCGACCATACTAAATTACAAATTCATTTTTTGTGCAACTTATTATTCTCTTCATCCTCAATTCCATATTTTTTGGTGGGGAAACATTTATTTTGTGGGAGTGGAACCACAAAATAAAGTGCTTGGCAGGTCCTCTCAGCTCTATACTCTGAATCATTCGTGTCAAAAGCCTGAACCCCTGTGTTATCTCTTTGCCCCCTCTTGTGATTCTCTTTTCTTTTTCCATTGGTTTGTTTGGGGGCCACACCTTGTAGTACTCAGGGCTCAGTCTTGGTTTTGTGCCCAGGGCTCCGTGTGGTACAGGGGTTAGAACACAGGATGGTTTCATGCAATATAAGCACCTTACCGACTGGGCAATCTCTCTGGCCCCCAACCCCATATTACTAAATACCAGTCTAAGTCTTTTTGACTCAAGGAACAGAAAAGTTCAAATAAGAGTGACTCCAAATTTGGGGTCCTTTATTGCTTCTATGTAAAGATAAATAGCTAGACCCCCATTGATTCAGTATCTTCAAGGATGCTATTACTAATATTTGTGAAGGATGGGACAGGAAATGAAGCTCAGGCCACCTGGCACATACATAGTATGTATTTTTCCACTAAACTACAGCTACTTTCTAGACCTTAAGATGTTGTTCTTATCATAATTTGTCATCAAGTCAATGAATATTTATTAGGTACTACTATTGCAACCCCAAACTCATGCAAATAAGAGAATTGAATTTGATTCACCACCAAAAGTGAGCATTAAAAACATGAAAAATACATGAACTTTGCAAACATGCTATTGAGTCCTAATAACACACAGATGTCCGTGCCCTGTGTGTAGACCCCTTTAAATTGTGATCATTTGCTGGTATGATAACTATTGTCTGGGGACATAAGCAAGAGCCAATATCACCAACCACTTTTTCTTTTTTTCTTAAATTTTTATTAGTGAGACACCATGAGGTACAGTTGTAGACTTACAAACGTTTGTGCTTGGGTTTCAGTTATACAATGATCAAATACCCATCCCTCCACCAGTGCCCATTTCCCACCACCACGGATCCCAGTATCCCTCTCACCCTCCATCCCCCCCATCCCACCCTGCATCTGTAGCAGGGCATTCCCTTTTGTTCCCTCTCTCCTTTTGGGTGTTGCCAACCACTTTTTCTGAATGCTCCTTCTCTGATGTAGGTGACAGATCACGCGGATGGGCGACACGTCATCGCCCATTTCCACGAGTGGCAGGCTGGAACTGGACTAATCCTGTCTCGGGCCCGGAAACTTCCGATCGCGACAATATTTACCACCCATGCCACTCTGCTCGGGAGATATCTGTGTGCAGCAAACATCGATTTCTACAACCATCTGGATGAGGTAAACACCCACTTTCCTCCTCCCGGCTTCCACACCTTTCTGAGCCTTGAAATAGACAGCGGATGTATTGATCTGTGCCTTTCACCTGCCAGCCAGACGGCAGCGGTGCCCTTTGAGCTGGTTGATATTCATGACAGGACTCCCAGGAGGGCACCGAGGGCTCACGGTGTTCAGCTGTGCAATTCCCTCCCAGGCATAGATCCGAATCTGAGTGGGCACGGTGGGACTAAGACCCTGAATGGACAGAGGGGCCTGGTTCCCATGGAGGCTGGGCTCTGGGCTTGCTCTCACTCTCCCCCTCTTTAAACAGTTGATAGAAATCCTTCTAGAACAGTGGGCTCGATGAACCTGCCTTCCCATAGCCTCCAAGTGAATGGATTTCTCCAAAGTGATTTGCAAGTGATTAGGAAGAGTGTCTATGGGGTTCCAGCACAACAATTTAGTGAAAACAGAGAAATACGGGGCTGGGTAGTGGCTCAACTGCAGGCAGAGTGCGTCCTTTCCACATGAAAAGTCCTGGGTTCAACTCCAGGCATGTGAAAGAAAGAAACAGAACAAAGAGGTAAGTCCATGTCATGAGATTGAGTAGGACTCTCTGGGAAGGCTGCAGGGATCTATGATCCAACATTCAGTTTGGATTTCTCCTGTTTGCCCTCAGTTAATTCAGATGAATAAGAAAGAAGTCTTTTGACTGGTTAAAGAAACTTTGGTACATTGGTACATCTGCACAATGGAGTACTATGTAGCTGTTAGAAAAGATGAAGTCATGAAATTTACATACAAGTGGTACTACATGGAAAGTATCATGCTAAGTAAATTGAGTCAGAAAGAGACCGACAGACATAAAAAGATTGCATTCATCTGGGGAATATGAAGTAACAAATAGGAGACTAATGTCCATGAGTGGCCGAGATTAGTACCAGGAATTTTGCTCCATGTCTTGGAGGCCAGCCACACATGCTAGGGGAAAGGGGAGCTCAGATAGAGAAGGGAGCACCAAATAAAGGGTGTTGGGAGGATCCTCCCAGGATGGGAGAAGCATGCTGAAAGTAGACTATAGAACAAACATGATTGCCACTCAATGCCTCTTTTGCAAACCACAACACCCAAAAGGAGAGAGAGAACAAAAGGGAATGCCCTGCCACAGAGGCAGGGTGAGGGGGGGGGGGGGATGGGGGGGAGGGATACTGGGATCCGTGGTGGTGGGAGATGGGCACTGGTGGAGGGATGGGTATTTGATCATTGTATAATTGAAACTCAAGCACAAAAATTTGTAAGTCTACAACTGTACCTCATGGTGTTTTACTAATAAAACATTAGAAAAAATTAGAAATTAGAAAAAAAAAGAAAGAAATCTTTTAGTTCATCACATCAAAAATGTCGACAGGGGCCAAAAAGATAGTACAGTGGGTAGGGCTCTTGCCTTGCGCATGGCCAGCTTGGTTTCTATCCCCACCATCCCATATGGTCCTCGGAACACCACCAGGAGTGATTCCTGAGTTGCAGAGCCAGGAGTAAGCCCTGAGCATCTTTGTGTGTGGCCTAACACAAACAAACAAACAAACAAACATATCAACAAAGTGTTTGAGTACCCTGAAAGTCAAGGTAGCTGCATGTTTGTTGTATATATATTGCCAATACAATCAATTTAGCATTTTAATATTGTTTCACTAGTAAGAACATTAGGAAGTTGAAATACTGATTTCTAAGGAATCTCCCATGTTGAAAAGTTTAAGTCTGTTCTTGTGTGTAATGCGTGAATATGGCTTAAATAACGGTGGTGGAAAGTTCTATTTCTATCTCAAAGACACCCATAGCAGGGAAGTTCTTTCTTTAAACTTTAGCATTTGCAAAGCAATGACTGGTCTACATGAGAGTTTTCATTTCCAGATGTCAGTCTAACGCAAAGGTCAAAAGGTAAACATAAGAGCTTTGAAAATAAAGTCACCAGGGAATTTGGAAAGTCAAGAGACCAGGGAAATGTCCTCTGGACAATAATGTGGAAAGGATAATAAGGGCAATCCAGTGATCTGTGATATGCGCAGCGGTCACTTCCTGGAGAAGAGCCAACTTTGACTTTTGGAATAAAAATATTAGAGAGACTTCTTGAACATTTCACTTCCGAGTACTCTGGGGGCTCAGGGGAGAATTCTTCTCTCTGGTCCTTCTCAGGCTGGTCAGTAACACCAGGCAAATTAGCCCGAAAAAAAAAAGACCAAATTTTGTTGCGTATATAGGAAGACTCAACGTGACTGTTAGTCTAGAGGAAATGGACCTATCTGCACATGTCTATCTGGATCTTAGGAGAAGGAGAGGGACCTGGTGTTTTCAGTTGAGAGGACACCCCCAATATTACAGCTAAACTCTGTGTGTGTGTGTTCTAGTTTTGGGGTCACACCTGAGAGTGCTCAGGGATCACTCCTGGTGGTCCTCTGTGTATTTGGTGCTGGAATTCGAACCAGGGTCAGATCTAAAACCAAAGTGCCTTAGCCTTTGTGCTATCTCTCCTGACCTCTGGCTAAGTTCTAAGTCAGACGAAATTTTGGGATAAGTAAAAGTATATTTTGAATAAAAAAAATTCAAGAATTCTGTGTGATCCTTGATAAGGGGAACTATTGGCTTTGGAGAAAGCAATTAAAGAATAGTACAGGGGCTGGAACAATAGCACAGCAGGTAGGGCATTTGCCTTGCATGCGGCAGACCCAGGTTCGATTCCCAGCATCCCATGTGGTCCCCTGAGCACCTCCAGGAGAGATTCCTGAGCGCATGAACCAGGAGTAACTCCTATTCATCTCCGGGTGTGATCCAAAAAAGCAAAAAAAAAAAAAAAAAAAAAAAAGAGAAAGAAAGTACAGAAATGAACTATTCATTTCTGAAGAATGAATAGTTCCAAGGTCACATTTCTGTGAAGAGCACCAAACTGATCTCAAAGAAGCAATGTCTTCTTTTTTTTTTTTATTAGTGAAACACCGTGAGGTATAGTTATAGACTTAAAAATTTTTGTGCTTGGGTTTCAGTTATACAATGATCAAGTACCCATCCCTACACCAGTGCCCATCATCCACCACCATAGGTCCCAGCATCCCTCCCACCCCCCTCATCCCCCCATCCCACCCCGCCTCTGTTTCAGGGCATTCCCTTTTGTCCTCTCTCTCCTTTTGGATGTTGTGGTTTGCAAAAGAGGCATTGAGTGGCAATCATGTTTGGTCTATAGTCTACTTTCAGCATGCTTCTCCCATCCTGGGAGGATCCTCCCAACACCCTTTATTTGGTGCTCCCTTCTGTATCTGAGCTTCCTTTTCCCCTAGAACATGTGGCTGGCCTCTGTTAAAACATTTTTTTTCTTATTATAACATTGTGGTTTACCAAATTGTTTCTAATCTAGTTGTTTCAGGTATTAAACGTTCCACCACCAGTGCCATCACCAGTGTCACCTTCTCTACACTTGTATTCCCAGTTTCCTCCCACTCCACTCTGCCCCTTGCAGAGAAAAACAAATTTACTTGATATTATTTATTCTAACGCTGAGGCCAATGGAATTATCAAAATTTGATCAAGAAGAGTCAGTTTGTGAGCAGGGTTGTATCTCACAGTGGTGTTGCTGTCTGAGGATTTCCCGGGCTGGTTGTTGCTCAGAGCTATGCATTTTAGCAATTGGATTAAATCAACTTATCATTTCTTTTCTTTGCGGTGCTGCCTTCTCTCAGGGTCTCACCGAAAGCCTGTAGAGAAAGGCGTGGCATGTTTTCCTCGTGTGGAAGGGCCAGTGGAAGCCAACGTGCCTGTGCTGTATTTTGTTTCTAACAGTTTAACATCGACAAGGAGGCGGGAGAGAGACAGATCTACCACCGCTACTGCATGGAGAGAGCTTCTGTCCACTGTGCCCACGTGTTCACCACCGTTTCGGAAATAACAGCCATCGAGGCAGAGCATATGCTGAAGAGAAAGCCTGGTAAGTACTGTCCCCGTGTGTGTGCCAACCTCACAGTTCAAAGTGACATTAGCTGTATGGAAAATTTTAAAATAAAAAGGATGAGGGGCTGGAGTGATAGCACAGCGGGTAGGGCGTTTGCCTTGCACGTGGCCAACCTGGGTTCGATTCCCAGCATCCCATAAGGTCCCCTGAGCACTGCCAGGGGTAATTCCTGAGAGCAGAGCCAGGAGTAACCCCTGTGCATTGCCGGGTGTGACCCAAAAAGCAAAATAAATAAATAAATAAAATAAAAAGGATAAGACCAGAGAAAGTTCAGGTGCTTGTCTGGCACACAACTGACCCCTGTTCAGTCCTTGGCACCACCCAGGGTCCCCTGAGCACTGCCAGGCTGGATCCCTGATCACAGAGCCGGGACTACATCATAGACACTGCCAGGTATGACCCCCAAGCCCCAAAAGCAAACAATTTTAAAAACAAAACAAAACAACATAAAACCAAAAAATATAATTGGAGAAACATTGCACCCATTGACATTATTAAAACAATTAAAGCTGAGAATCTACTTAACTTTTTTTGGGGGGGGGGTCACACCCAGCGATGCACAGGGGTTACTCCTGGTTCATGCAATCAGGAATTACTCCTGGCAGTGCTCAGGGAACCATATGGGATGCTGGGAATTGAACCGGGTCGGGCCGCGTGTAAGGCAAGTGCCCTACCCGCTGTGCTATCACTCCAGCCCCATAGAGAATCTACTTAAATTGAAAATTTCTTTTCTCAATTTCACAAAGAAGAGGAATCTATGTTCATGGTGGACAAGGCTGAAGCATAGAGCTGTGTGCTATACGTATTTATAGACACGGACACACTTCTACATACAAAGTCATTCGGCCTTTGTTTCACTCACTAGATGCTGAGTTGGTGAAATGGTCCTTGGTTGGTTCACCACTAGACACCCAAAGATAACTTCTGTACCTGGGTCTAATGCATAGTTAATTAATTTTTACTGGAAAATGCATTTATTATTATGTCCCAAATCCTTTCATATTTTAAATTTTTCAATTTCAGTAGATTCTCAGTAATAGCAACAGGCTCTAGCTGGAACACAGTATTGTTCATTCTGAGCTTAGTGAATAAATGGACTGGGCTTGCAGTGCTGCGGGATTGAAACTAGATTTTCACAGTGACTTGTTCCGTGTGTGTAAATAAGCAGAGCTGTCTTCTGTGTTAAGAAAACCAAGGTCCAGTGCTCGCTTCGGCAGCACATATACTAAAAATGGAACGATACAGAGAAGATTAGCATGGCCCCTGTGCAAGGATGACACGCAAATTTGTGAAGCGTTCCATATTTTTAGGAGACTAACACCCAAGAATAGCCGAGATAAGTACCAGGAGATGTACTCCATGACTTGGAGGCCAGCCACACACGCGAGGGGAAAAGGCAGCTCAGATAGAGAAGGGAGCACCAAATAAAGGGTGCTGGGAGGATCCTCCCAGGATGGGAGAAGCATGCTGAAAGTAGACTATAGACCAAACATGATTGCTACTCAATGCCTGTTTTGCAAACCACAGCACCCAAAAGGAGAGAGAGAACAAAAGGGAATGCCCTGCCACAGAGGCAGGGTGCGATGGGGGGGGGGGGGGGAGGGGATGGGAGGTGGGAGGGATACTAGGATCAGTGGTGGTGGAGAATGGGCACTGGTGAAGGGATGGGTACTCGATCATTGTATAACTGAAACCCAAGCACAAAAATTTGTAAGTCTACAACTGTACCTCATGGTGTTTCACTAATAAAAATTTTAAAAAAAAGAAAGAAAGAAAAGAAAAGAAAACCAAAGTCCAGGGCCAGAGAGATAGCACAACTGGAAAGGTTCTTGCCTTGCATGTTCCTGACCTGGGTTCGATTCCCAACACCCCATATAGTCCCCTGAGCACCTCCAGGAGTGATCCCTTGAGTGCAGAGCCAGGAGTAAGCCCTGACTACAGCTGGGTGTGGCCTAAAAATAAATGAAAAAGAAAAAAAAAAGAAAAGTGCAGCAAATATTGGAAATTCTTGTAAAACCACCACTGTCTGGGACTAAATGATAGCACAGCAAGTAGGGCACTAGTCATGCACTGGCCTGGGTTCGATCCTTGGAATCCCATATGGTCTCCAGAACACTACTGGGAGTAATTCCTGAGTACCACCGGGAGTAATTCCTGAGTACCACCGGGTGTGGCTCAAAAAAACCCACCACACCTTGTAACATGGTCTCACTGGTCCTATTTGATAACTGTTTTAGTTCTCTTCAAATTTCCTTGCAAGTTTTTCCAAGAACTGTTTCCGAAAACATGCAGAGGTTGCAATGCCAAGAGGGATATTCGTATTCCTACAGTTTATTGATCCAGAGGCAGACACGTGACATAATTCATGCCAATCAAAATCCTTACTCCATAGGAAAGGTTCTAAATAGCTAAGTTTCGGTTTAAATGCCCTCTTGCATAACAGAAATGTGTTGAAAACTGTAGTATTCGTTTCTTTATTTAGTAAGAAAGATAGACAGACATAGAACTTTTCAGATGCTCCATTAGATCATAATTTAAATAGATTCCTGACATGTAGTTAAATATTTGATTTTTATTATTATTTTTTAAAACCAGGGTCTCACACATGCAAAGAAAGTTCACAGAGAAACATCTGTTAGCATCTTACTTATTTTTTGTTTTGTTTTTGGGTCGGGCTGGAGCAATAGCACAGTGGGTAGGGCATTTGCCTTGCACAGGGCCTACCCGGCCAACCCAGGTTCGATTCCTCCACCCCTCTCGGAGAGCTCGGCAAGCTACCGAGAGTATCTCGCCCTCACGGCAAAGCCTGGCAAGCTCCCCGTGAGGTATTTGATATGCCAAACATGGTAACAAGTGTCACAATGAAGATGTTACTGGGCCCGCTCGAGCAAATAGATGAACAACGGGAGGACAGTGACAGTGACAATGACAGTTTTTGGGTCACTCCCAGCAATGCTCAGAGATTCCTCCTGTCTCTGCACTCAGAAATTACTCATGGTAGTGCTTGGGGAACCATATGGGATGCTGGAGATCAAAGTCAGGTCTTTCGAATACAAGACAAGCCCCGTATCTGCTGTTAATACAGTTGCTCCAGTTCCCCAATAGGATTTTATTAACAAATTCCTCATTTTTACATCTAAGCCACGTAGTGGGCTGGAGCGATAGAATAGTGGGTACAGCCGACCCAGTCGACCAGAGTTCAGTTCCTCCTCCCCTCTCAGAGAACCTGGCAAGCTACTCAGAGTATCTCGCCCGCACGGCAAAGCCTGGCAAGCTACCTATGACGTATTTCATATGCCAAACACAGTAACAAGTCTCATAATGTTACTGGACCTGCTCGAGCAAAATCAATGAACAATGGGAGGACAGTGACAGTGACAGTGACAGCCAGTTAGATTTCTGTTAATTTCAACTGACTATTCCTATTACTATATTCTCTCCTACCATCTTGGCTTTACTTGTTTTTCCTTCAAATATCTATTTCAAGGTGCTAGACAATTTTCTTTAAAAAGAGAATCCAAAGTATTTGAATAAAGCCCTCATAAAGATCCTAAGCTATTCTAGCTATTTTTTTTCTTTCAAAAGATTCTGTTAGATTCAGTTGAATGCTAAATCTTGTGGTTCTTTTTTTTTCTATTTATTTATTTATTAAAACTAATTAGTGGAACACCATGAGTTACAGTTGTGGACATTACAAGTTTTCATGCATGAGTTTCAGTTATACAATCATCGAGGACCCATCCCTCCACCAGTGCCCATTCTCCACCACCAATGATCCCAGTATCCCTCCCATCCCCCCATGTTCCCCATCCCACCCTGCCTCTGTGGCAAGGCATTCCCCTCTGTTCTCTCTCTCCTTTTGGGTGTTGTGGTTTGCAAAAGAGGCATTTAGTGGCAATCATGTTTAGTCTATAGTCTACTTTTAGAATGCATCTCCTATTCGGGAGGATCCTCACAACACCCTTTACTTGATTTCCCTTCTCTATCTGAGCTACCTTTTCCCCCAGTATGTGTGGCTAACCTTCAAGCCCTGGAGTGAACCTCCTGGTACTTATCTCGACTATTCCTGGATGTTAGTCTCCTAGTTTGTTCCTTTATATTCCCCAGATGAATGCCATCTTTCTATGTCTGTCCCTTTCTTTCTGACTCATTTCACTTAGCATGATACTTTTCATGTAGTACCACTTGTATGTAAAATTCATGACTTCATCTTTTCTAACGGCTGCATTGTATAGATGTCTTGTGGTTCTTATGTCTACTTCAACAATATGCTCGTTTCTTTTCTTGGATCTTCATTGCCTTCTATTTATGGTGTCTTATTCATCATTGGTCTGACTGAGACAAGAAGGCACGAATCCCACCATGCCGTTTTCGACACTGGAGAAGAATTGTTCCTCGGAACATGCGATAAAAGAGGTGTTGGAGGCGTTGGTGTCCTTGTCAACACAAACTTGGCCAAGAGCATTGATTCATTAGAATGCCTAACAACCCGAATCGGACGTTTACATTTGAATAGATGTGGCTTACTGCCTGCAGTTTCTATCTTCGTTGTCTACGCACCAACATCTCATTATGATGAAAGAGAAATCGAGAATTTCTACATGGAGCTAGAGAAGTTCTATAAAGAAGACCACACCTTCTACAAGATCATTGTGGATGATTTTAATGCCAAGATAGGACCGAGAAGATCAGCTGAAGAACTTCACATAAGGACCCATGGCCTAGAATGGAACGAACAGGGTGAGAGACTGTCTGAGTTCATCATGTCGACCAAGACCATTCATGGTAACTCACAGTTCCAGAAGGCAGAATCTAAACGATGGACATGGGAGTCTCCCGGTGGACGATTCCACAACAAAATAGACCACATCATATTCAATCGACAGTTTTGCCTGACCAATGTCGCTGTTGTCCCAAAATTTCGAACGGGATCGGACCACCGTCTCCTTTGTGCAAAATTCTACTTCACAGAGCAG